CTCGAGGCGGACACCATGCCTCGAGACAAGGCAGCCCCCCCCCCCCCCCCTCACTAACATGATAAAACACGCCACGAATTGAAATCCTGTCCCACGTACAGCAGAAATGAAACGCGTCTCCAGACTAAACAAGTTGACAAAAACTGAGAGGGCCCCGGCAGCAAAACACATATAAAGCCGGTAAATATGAGACAGTTGCAAATGAATAAAATCAACACTAGAGACGAGCCAGGGACACACGTCACACATACACAGGGTCGACGGCACCTGGCGTTAAGGGCACTGTGAGCGCCCCTTTCCAGTTTCCTTTAGACAATTTATGGGTTGAGTCATAAACCGACATCACAGCACTCGAGGAATTATCACAACCGCTCCGTTCCAATCTTCAGCAGGCCCAATACCAATGGTGCCAGTAGCAGCTTGCATGTCTCTGAGCGTCGAGTATCGGCTAGATCCCCTCCCCCCTCCCCTTTTTTATCACTCCCCGCAGCATCACTTTCAACAGACTATGCTCCTCCATTTGCTCCCCCGAATTGTACACGTTTTCCCTCAAGGCCCTAACCATGTCGGCCTTTTCGTGCAGCAGTATTCCACCAAGTTGGGCACAGCCAGCCAGTCTGTCCGCCTGTTCATTTCCCGACACACCGGCATACTCTAGAGAAAAGATCCAGACAATGCTCCTCATCTGTGACCTTCGAAGCGAAGCATGCCCCTTGATCTAGACAATCTATGGGGTGGGGAGTGTTATCGCTCCCCCCCCCCTTTTTTTTCCCCCCACCAAACCATGTACGGCAGCTCTCTTTTTAACTATGTTAACAAATTTCATATTATTTCATCCCCATTACGGAGACAAATATAGGGGGGGGGGGGGGGGGGGGGTTAACAGACACATTGTTGTCCTAACAAGCATGACATAAAAGGCAACTAATTCAGGATTTTCCCTCCGAAGTCGGGGCAGTCAGCCTGAGAGGCAAGAAACCAACTGTGCGCACACAAATAAGCCAGATCGGTAAAACAGATGTGCAGGCTAAACTCAAATTCTAGATCCAGACCCAAGTACAGGCAGGAGTGGACTAACTCAGAGAGAGTTTACAGCTGGTGAGCGCTAGGAAACAGAAGAGGTTATTTCAAATATGTTGTTATGTTTATTTGCCATTCTGCAGATAACAAAACTGATTACTTTTATCTTTATAGCTTTGCGTATCTAAATATGACTAAAACACAATGGGGTGCCCCTCAATGTTTTCTTTGTAAAAGCGCCTCAGCATACACGTTTAAACTTATTCTGCTGACACGCTGAGGCGGACAGCTGAGCGCGCGTTTTCGCTGTGTGGTATGGTCCGTGAGTTATGATTACAGTTTTCTTCATGGCACTCCGGACACGTCTATAGGTGCTCAAATTCCCCCCTTCAACATAAACATCAGCGTCCCGCGGCTGATGGTCCCAGTCCTATGTTGGTTGACAAGACTTCACGTGCGTCCGGTGTGCTTCTCGTGCCTGGCAGTGCCAATTTTATTCCAATTATTGCACTCTTAGCAAAGATGTGGATGTGCTGTCAAAAATTCCAAAACGTCCTACCTCTTTAATGGCGTTGGTCGAAGAATGAATGTTTCAATGTGGCTGTGAGATGGGAGGGGAATACAACAACCGGGCAGAAGAAAGGGAGCACGGTCCTTCGTGGATGCAGGTACCAGATTTATTGATGACTTTCATTGGGTAAGGCAGTGGTTACGAAACGTTTCTTAGTCGCTGCGCCGTTTTTCAATTAGATTCTTTCCACGGCGCATAACCTAAGTAAAAGTGTAACTAGTCATGTATGAGATTTAAAAAAAAAAAACTCGGGTACCTTGGAATATTTCGCGGCGCCCCTGTGATGAGGTCGGGACTCTCCGCGGCGCACAGTTCTGGGATCACTGGGGTTAGGTAATTATAAGATAAATGTGTCAACGTCCCGAAAGCTAGGGTATTTGAGCTACGTTAAACGTCACGGTCGCCCGGAGAGGAGAGTGGCGGATGGTAGTTTCCGGAAAACAACGCAGACCTCCGTGAACGTGGACACAAGACACTGAAGATGTATTGGTGGTAAAAGCACACAGAGTTGGAGAACTGACTACAGAAAGGAAGACTTTCAGGCGTGCCGTGACGAGAGCGACGTTCTGCGAAGGACCTTTTGATTGTTAACGATGATGTCAACATTCCATCTTAACATACCTCGTCAGACACGAAAGCGGGCGTACGATTTCAACTAATGTCTGTGTGTAAGCTACTTCTCCTGCACACATCCACACAAATGTGCAGATAGTATAATAAGCTAACCAATGATAGATGAGTGCCATTTGGAAACTGTCGGCGCACTTTGATTATAAATTAAAGAGCGACGACTGTTCTGTTTTTCGGCCAGCAAATCACAAGTGTGCAGTAACCTTTCTTTATGGTCCGCAACCAGATTGGTAATTCTGAATTTCGCCTATAATTTGACCACGCAGCCCCCTAGTTCAGTTATGGACAAAGGTGTGTGTCATATTTAGCCAGTTTCATCATGTGTCATAGACTACAATGGTATATGTCATATTTAGCCAGTTTCATCATGTGTCACAGACTACAATGGTATGTATCATATTTTGGAAGTTTCATCATGTGTCACAGACTACAATGGTATGTATCATATTTTGGAAGTTTCATCATGTGTCACAGACTACAATGGTATGTATCATATTTTGGAAGTTTCATCATGTGTCACAGACTACATTGGCATGTATCATATTTTGGAAGTTTCATCGTGTGTCACAGACTACAATGGTATGTTTCATATTTTGGAAGTTTCATCGTGTGTCACAGACTACAATGGTATGTATCATATTTTGGAAGTTTCATCATGTGTCACAGCCTACAATGGTATGTGTCATATTTTGCCAGTGTTATCATGTGTCACAGACTACAATGGTATGTATCATATTTAGCCAGTGTTATCATGTGTCATAGACTACAATACTACAATGGTATGTGTCATATTTAGCCAGTTTCATCATGTGTCACAGACTACAATGGTATATGTCATATTTAGCCAGTTTCATCATGTGTCACAGACTCATGGTAGTATCATATTTTGGAAGTTTCATCAGTGTCACAGACAATGGTGTGTATCATATTTTGGAAGTTTTCATCATGTGTCACAGACTACAATGGTATGTATCATATTTTGGAAGTTTCATCGTGTGTCACAGACTACAATGGTATGTATCATATTTTGGAAGTTTCATCATGTGTCACAGACTACAATGGTATGTATCATATTTTGGAAGTTTCATCATGTGTCACAGACTACAATGGTATGTATCATATTTTGGAAGTTTCATCATGTGTCACAGCCACAATGGTATGTATCATATTTTGGAAGTTTCATCATGTGTCACAGACTACAATGGTATGTGTTATCATATTTTGGAAGTTTCATCATGTGTCACAGACTACAATGGTATGTATCATATTTTGCCAGTTTCATCATGTGTCACAGCCTACAATGGTATGTGTCATATTTAGCCAGTGTTATCATGTGTCACAGACTACAATGGTATGTATCATATTTAGCCAGTTTTATCATGTGTCACAGCCTACAATGGTATGTGTCATATTTTGCCAGTTTCATCATGTGTCACAGCCTACAATGGTATGTGTCATATTTAGCCAGTTTCATGTCATAGACTACAATGGTATGTATCATGTGTTATCATGTGTCACAGCCTACAATGGTATGTGTCATATTTTGGAAGTTTCATCATGTGTTACAGCATGGTGTCACAGTTTTATCATGTGTCACAACTACAATGGTATGTGTCATATTAGCAGTTCATCATGTGTCAATACAAATTTTGGTTTGTCACATCACAATGTGTCACAGCCTACAATGGTATGTGTCATATTTTGCCAGTTTCATCATGTGTCACAGCCTACAATGGTATGTGTCATATTTAGCCAGTTTCATCATGTGTCACAGCCTACAATGGTATGTGTCATATTTAGCCAGTATCATCATGTGTCACAGCCTACAATGTTATGTTTGAAAACTAATCTGCGGTCTCAATGTGAATATGAACATAACTAATTCACTGTAGAAGTCGTAGTGGCATAGTGGACGATGCATTCATCAAGTGAAGGATGAAGAGGAGAAGGAGGAGGAGGAGGAGGAGGAGGAGGAGGAGGAGGAGGAGGAGGAGGAGGAGAAGAAGAAGAAGAAGAAGAAGAAGAAGAAGAAGAAGAAGAAGAAGAAGAAGAAGAAGAAGAAGAAGAAGAAGAAGAAGAAGAAGAAGAAAAATAATAATACTCGTGAAGAAAGAGGGGGCTTGATATAACAACAACAAAATCGGGGTTGACGGTCAATTAGTGCCTTATTCTTCTTCTTCTTCTTCTTCTTCGCGCTGACTGATTGTAAACTCCGGCGGAAAAGTTCTGGCAGTTAGTCCACTGCTGAACTTTGGTCTTGCCCCAGAACTTGAGTTTTGCATGCACATCCATTTTACAGATCCGACTGTTGGTTCCTAGCTTCACGGGCAGACACACGCCGACTTTCACCCCTAATTATTGGACTTTTATACATACTTGTTATGGGACGGGTGTTTAATCGTTTGCACACGCCAGAATGCGGCCATGGAAGCCACAGGTGGTTGATCTGTGCTTTAAAAGGATGGCCTAGAAGACCGAGAAGGGAAGCTCCGACAGGCGTACAGACAGAGCAATGCACTTTTGATCAGGTAGCATCTGCATCCTGCTTTGTTCCAAACGTATTGGTGTTACCTTCTCTTTGGAGTAAACAAGGCAGACCGAGAGAATGATCATAATGCATGTCCAACACACGGTCTCTACATTGTTGACCAGGCTTTGTGTAATGGAAAGGGGCTACTTTTTCCCATGTCTCCCAAAAGCACAACATAGCATCGTCGTGTAGAGAGATAGAAAGGTGCAGACAATCAGTTGAATATTTAAAACATAATCTAAGAACTGATTATTGTTCTTCTTCTTTGTCTTGTTGTTGTTGTTGTTCTTCTTCTTCTTCTTTGTCTTCTTTGTCTTCTCCTTCTTTGTCTTCTCCTTCTTTGTCTTCTTCTTCTTCTTTGTCTTCTTCTTCTTCTTTGTCTTCTTCTTCTTCTTTGTCTTCTTCTTCTTTGTCTTCTTCGTCTTCTTCTTCTTCTTCTTCTTCTTCTTCTTCTTCTTCTTCTTCTTCTTTGTCTTCTTCTTCTTCTTCTTCTTCTTCTTCTTCTTCTTCTTCTTCTTCGTCTTCTTCTTCTTCTTCTTCTTTGTCTTCTTCTTCTTCTTCTTTGTGTTCTTCGTCTTCTTCTTCTTCTTCTTTGTGTTCTTCGTCTTCTTCTTCTTCTTCTTTGTCTTCTTCTTCTTCTTCTTCTTCTTCTTCTTCTTTGTCTTCTTCTTCTTCTTCGTCTTCTTCTTCTTCTTCTTCTTCTTCTTCTTCTTCGTCTTCTTCTTCTTTGTCTTCTTCTTCTTCTTCTTCTTCTTCTTCTTCTTCTTCTTTGTCTTCTTCTTCTTCTTTGTCTTCTTCTTCTTCTTCTTTGTCTTCTTCATCTTCTTCTTTGTCTTCTTCTTCTTCTTCTTTGTCTTCTTCTTCTTCTTCTTTGTCTTCTTCTTCTTCTTCTTTGTCTTCTTCTTCTTCTTCTTCTTCTTCTTCTTCTTTGTCTTCTTCTTCTTCTTTGTCTTCTTCTTCTTCTTCGTCTTCTTTTTCTTCTTTCCCTTCTTCTTTTTCTTTTTCTTCTTCGCGTTCACAGGCTGTAACTCTGGTGGAAAGTTCTGAATGTTCCTCTACCTCTAGACTTTAGCCTTGAACCAGAAACTGAGTGTTGCATGTACATCCGTTTTACAGATTTGACTCCTCTGTATGCAGGCTGTTGGTCCCCTGCCTCTCATGCAGACTATTCTTGTATTCTTTCCCCAACAACGAGGCCCCGGAACCCACGCTGAGATCTTTCCCCAACAACGAGGCCCTGGAACCCACGCGGAGATCTTTCCCCAACAATGAGGCCCCGGAACCGACACAGGGATCTTTCCCCAACAATGAGGCCCCGGAACCCATGCAGAGATCTTTCCCCAACAACAAGGCCCTGGAACCCACGCACAGATCTTTCCCCAACAATGAGGCCCCAGAACCCACGCAGAGATCTTTCCCCAACAATGAGGCCCTGGAACCCACACGGAGATCTTTCCCCAACAATGAGGCCCCGGAACCCACGTGGAGATATTTCCCCAACAATGAGGCCCCGGAACCCACACAGAGATCTTTCCCCAACAACGAGGCCCCGGAACCCACGCGGAGATCTTTCCCCAACAACGAGGCCCTGGAACCCACACAGAGATCTTTCCCCAACAATGAGGCCTCGGAACCCATGCGGAGATCTTTCCCCAACAATGAGGCCTCGGAACCCATGCGGAGATCTTTCCCCAACAATGAGGCCCCGGAACCCATGCAGAGATCTTTCCCCAACAATGAGGCCTCGGAACCCATGCGGAGATCTTTCCCCAACAATGAGGCCCCGGAACCCATGCAGAGATCTTTCCCCAACAATGAGGCCCCGGAACCCGCGCGGAGATCTTTCCCCAACAATGAGGCCCCGGAACCCACGCGGAGATCTTTCCCCAACAATGAGGCCCCGGAAACCACGCGGGGAAAGCTAAGGATTCAATAAATTTTCTTCTGAAACTGAAACAATGCATGCCTCACTGACTGCACTTGCCGTACCATAAGGACACGTTGTTCGGCGACCGCCGTGTCATATTTTTATTTCCACAGGAATATTCGCTATATATGTAAATATGACAACCATTTAAAACTGAGATCCGTAAACAGCAGCGACATAATTCTATCATATCCTAGAAAAAATGAGCTATCAGTGACAATGTCATTATATATGCGACGGCGAATATTTGCGACTCGACATTGATTGCGTGGCAAGGTAATTATGCGTGTTCCCTTTAATTTGAGAATGTCATTAATTGCAAGGCAATTATATATGCCCGATTCCACAAGTGAACTTTATGTATTTACCGACACTTGATGATTTTTTCTTTAATGATTGAAGGCTTAAGTGGCTGGATCACACCTGGAGAATGGAGGAAGGCAGAGGCAGAGTCCTTAGGGACATCCTCTATGGTGAATAAAGGACGGGTGGAAGATATCCATGCCGATCTGTACTATGATATAAAGACGTGTGCAAGCGGAACGTGAATGAAACAGGTATTGAGGTGAACTCGTGGAAACAAAATGCCATGGACCGTGTTTTGTGGAGCGGGCACGTCCCCCAGGGAATGAGAATGGAGGAAGAAATGACTGCAGAAAGGATGACAGCTGAGCGTCTGTGAAGAAACATACTGAGCACAAATGTTAACAACAACGGTCCTGAAATCCCATGCCATCATAGTGGAAGGCTTTCTTGACTCGGGCGGGTCTTGCTAGCCATACTCGCCATCCCCGTGGGCTGTGTCTCGTGCCTCCTCATAGTGCAGTAAAACACTATCCTCTGGAAAGACAGAACGGTGCCAATCATCATCATGAGTTCTATATCCTCAACGCGAGATCAGTATGAATTCGAAGACAATTCCATCATATTCATAGTTGCAAGTACACAATCTTTTTTTTTTTTTTTTTTTTTTTTTTGAGGCAATCTCCGTTTGAACTTTAAGATGTCTCTGAAACATCACACAGTGATAAATGAAAACTATCTAGCTGTGTGAAAAGTAATACTTCATCCTACCTATCTAGAATCAGAATTCACATACGCGCCTTTGGTGTATTTTAAAGTGACATATACCAGCCCTCAAAATGAACCTTAGGCGAAAATCGCATTAGTTGCACTTGTGTGACTTTGATCCACTTTAGTGTCTAATTAATGCCATGACAACCTGGCCACCTTAAACATTAATGTTTTCTTGTTCTTCATCGCCACCTACGGTATGCTCAGTAACATAATTGTACACTTGCGCTTCAGTGTGAGACTCACATAATGTAGAGATCGCTTGCGGCCGTTGATGCAATACTCCACAACAGTGTGGAAATATCAGTTATCAAGTATGTAGAATAGACTAGGACGTGTTCGGAAATTGTGCTCAACTCCCCTCGCCTAGATTTATTCATCGAGCGATGCCGGAGTAAAGGGTAAAGATTGAGCAGACCAGCTGGCAAGCAATGAGCCTCTACATGTGAGAAGAAGCATGGATAGAGCAGCCAGCATCACCGATGTAGAGGCTAGGAGGTGGATAATGACGAACCCCTGACAGTAACACGACTGCCTTCGGGGTAAAGATAGGAGATAACTCCTGATGGGAACAATCAGTAGAGATACAATGGAATGGCTGCTGCATCGGAAGACTGGGCATGCAAGGAAATGCTCAGTGTGCACTGATGTCGACGGTGATAACATTTACTGGGCGGTTTTAAACTGTTTGCCACAACCGTTCTTCAAGCTGAGGCGCCTGCATGACCAACCTTGGTTTCTGACAAAAGTCAAGGCGGAAAACTGCAGAGACAAAGTGTACATGCTTTATGACAGATTAATTCAGTGGGTCACCAGAGAGACCTCAAAATCTGATAAAATGCAACCGCGAGGGGAAACAACTGTGGAAACAGACGGCTGGCGATGTGTGGGGGTCGTCTGGGGAGATGGATGGCCTGGGAAAATTTCTGCCGTCTGGTAGGTGTAGTCGCTTGTAGGTGGATACTTCTGCTTTATAGAAGAATGTCTCAGCGAAGATTTGCGATATAGAATATCGCACTGTAGATACAACTGTTTTATAGATTGTCGCATTATCGGTACAGCAGCTTTATAGAATGTGGAATAGTAGATATAGACGATTTATAGAATGTGGAATAGTAGATATAGACGATTTCTAGAACGTGGAATAGTAGATATAGACGATTTATAGAATGTGGAATAGTAAATATAGACGCTTTCTAGAATGTGAAAAAGTAGATATATACGCTTTAAAGAATGTGGAATTGTAGATACAGAGGCTTTATAGAATATGGAATAGCAGATATAGACGCTTTATAGAATGTGGAATTGTAGATATAGGCGCTTTAAAGAATGTGGAATTGTAGATATAGGCGCTTTATAAAAAGTGGAATATGGACAACAGCACAGCAAATATAGCAGAGTGGTCTGTCTGACTGATGCTATGTCAGTTCTACAAGCAATTGTTAACCCAAAAGACACACAGTTTGTAGACTTGACGCAACAGCTGATTCACTTAGGCTCTTCAGTAGAACAATCTGTACTGCAGTGGATTCCATGTCACTGTGGCTTGGAAGCCAATGAAATAGCGGACAGATTGGCTAGAAGCAGCAGTGGCATGGTACAACCAAATAGCGACTTAACCCACCAAGAGACGACAACATTAATACCATCTAGTATCCAAGAAAGGTGGCTAGATACCCACTCCAGATTTTCTCCCCAAGAATCGCTTCATCGCCTCTCTAGAGAAGGACAGTGTATTATATTCAGACCAAAGACTGAGCACAACAGATTTCGCCAACATATGTTCAAATTTTTCGGTGTAGGAAATACGGAGACGTGTCCCTGCAGCGTGACACCCGACAATGCTGAGCATGTGCTCCAACACTGTCAACTGTATGCTGACAACAGAGACGCAATCTGGCCTGTTCCAACCACACTGAAGACAAAGCTGTATGGTACACAAGAGGATATGGATTGCACGATAGCTTTCATAAAGACTACCGGTCTCCTGATATAAGTTTTCTGACAGAAGGATCGAAGAAGAAGAAGAAGAAGAAGAAGAAGAAGAAGAAGAAGAAGAAGAAAGAAGAAGAAGAAGAAGAAAGAAGAAGAAGAAGAAGAAGAGAAGAAGAAGAAGAAGAAGAAGAAGAAGAAGAAGAAGAAGAAGAAGAAGAAGAAGAAGAAGAAGAAAAAGAAGAAGAAGGAGAAGAAGAAGAAGAAGAAGGAGAAGAAGAAGAAGGAGAAGAAGAAGAAGAAGAAAAAGAAGAAGAAGGAGAAGAAGAAGAAGAAGATACGTTTAAAGTCGAAAAAAACGATTCACTACATCGGGTTTCATCCCATATGCTGTTGTGTTCCCGGAGATGGACTCGACGTCTGCCGAAAGCTCTGGCAATCACATTCAGGCATATAACTAAAACTGAACCCGTGAACCGAATCAAGCGGTCGGCAAAACGAAATCACTGTCCTTATAAAGCTAGGCGAACGCTGTGCATAATCACTTAAGTACCAGACCAGACTACATCATGAGGGACAGTATACCGCTCACGCGCACCAGGCAACATGTTATGTGTGTTTGTACATCACATAATTATTCTCACGCCTACCACAACACATCTTTCTCCCACACAGATTGTTTACTTAAGCCCTCAATCAGACATTAGCTACGATGTTCTGGGACTGAAAAAGTTAACAATAAAACCAACAGAGAAAATTGCAGAAGAAGAAGCAAAAGCAGCTCATCTAGCACAAGAGGTATTACGCACAAGAAGCCCCCGAACCATCATTTTTCGCTCCAGCGGCTACAAAAGCAGGTAACAAGACACACAATAACCCCCCATGTCAAATACGATGATCCATTTCACGTACATATATCTGCACGCACTGTTACAACAAAAGCTGAATTTCGCCGCAGATATTCATCTAGGTGTCACATTTCTCTCACATAATTCATAACCTGAAACCGTCATTGAGCGCAGGAACACCCCCCCCCCCTCCACCCCCTTTTTTTCCTGTCCATTATAGTATCTGATAAAGCTGTTCTTTTTCTTCCTCCTCCTGTTTTTTAACGCCAGGTCAAGCATACGACCTCAATCAACTCGCGTCAACCTGCAGTATCCTTCACCATTTTGTACAACTTACTCTTTCTTTAGAGCGGCAAATTAGAAGTGTGTAACTGAGTCACAAGTAATATCTCAATCTGACATTTTGGAACAAGAATTCAAATGTGTCGTATCGGCATATAAAGTGATAAATAACATCCCTGAAAACGCAAGTAAGTGTTAATCGTCTATAACTGCCCCTATGTGACTTTGGCGGAGGCCGACTAATGTCCGCCCCTGACCTTGTATACGTACGAATGGAATGCCTAACAATACATTTCCGGGTCAAGCGAAGGTCAACACTGGTTACAAATATGGGACATAAACAGTAGGTAGTTTAAAGATCCGGCGCGGTGCTGAAGCAGATCACCCACCGACTGGCCGGTTCCGCACCACTTAGTGCTGAAATGATGTATGACAAGATGTCGTGAGGGCCTTTTAAGGGCGAGTGAACAGTGCAGAGGTTATACACAGACCATTACGGTCTGAGGAGAATGGCAATGCAGGGAGTTACAGGGGGATCTGGTCGACGCTCAACACTCAGGGGAGAGGCGAGACGGGTATACAATCAGAAATTTAAAGGTGCCCTCGGAATTGGACTCTTCGCTTGCTGCTGAAGATGGGGACGGAGCGCTTATAGGAGTGTCTCGAGTGCTATGACGTCGATTCTCAATTTAACTTCCAGCTCACCGAGTGTCGACTGGTCTATAAAATATATAGTCTAGCCCTATATGCCCAATGGCGTGGAAAAGGGTCCTTTTAAGTTAAATGTATTGTCTTCTCTTGTCCGTTAACTCTTTCATCGGCTGTTACTCAAACTCCGCATATTCCGCGCAGGTGAACTTACAAGTAACACATACTTAAGTCTGAGGAAGATTAACCGAAACACCGTTAGTTCACAACTAAACAAATATTTTAGATCTGCTCTTCTTCTTAGCGTCATCGGCTGCAGACTCCGGTGGAAAATCCTGGCTGTTCGTCCACTCCTGAACTTTAGTCTTGTTCCAGAACCTCAGCATTGCGGTTTATCCGTTTTACAGATGCGGCTGATTTGTATGCAGAATATTAGTTCCTCCCGATTTTGACGGGGACCTAGTCAGTCGGTCTGTACTACATGCTTATTAAGGGGCTGTGGGTCTATTCTTTACCCCTCATTATGGGGTCCTAAAACCCGCACGAGGTGACTAGCAAATCAAAATATGGGCCTTGTACACGACGCACTCATTACAACACTTGGGTACTTCACATTCCCAGTGTTCAAAAGCTTAACCCCTATCGTTCCGTATAAATCTTTACCATAAGTCAAAACATTTATCGGGGAAGGGGGAAGGGGGGAGACACCAGAAATTGTGGAGAGAACAAACCAACAGTAAACACCCACAAGATCCCATCAGCAGACTCAACAGAAAGGAACACAACAATTTTCCGTCTACGAACAGGAAACTGCAGGCTCAACTACCACATGCAAAAAATAAAGACAGTGTGCCTGTTAGACAGGACTACAAACACCTGAGCACATTCTGCAGACCTGCCCACTTTACCTACAACTTCGAAAAGAAACCTGACCTCAAGAACAAAGTGTGCAGAGCAAGCTATGGGGAACCATGAAGGAACTGCTGCTGACATGCGAGTTCATAGAGGCAACCCACCTGATGGTCTGACCTGAGCATAGGAAACCGAACGCAAAGAAGAAGAAGAAAATGTTGTTACAAAGAAAGGCATTGTTATAATTCCCTGAAGCGCCGCCCTGAGAGACTATAGAAAGAGAAGAAGAAGCAGAAAAAAATTTGGAGTCTCAGTTCTTAAAGACAATCCAGGACGCTTAAACCTACGACCACTCTTCTTCTTCGCGTTCACCGGCTGTAAA